GTTGCAGGGGTGGGGAGGGACCACACTTCTCTGACCCCCCCAAATAAAACCCCCTCATTGTGGACATGCTGCCCAGTGATGGGGGGTGATGGCGCTGGAGCAACTGGCGCCACTGGTGCCAGTGGGTTCTCCATTGGGATTTATTCCTGGGGGTGGTAAAACCCACTGGGGGGGATGGGAATTTGTGTGGGGCGATCCACCTCTGGGAACCCCCCCAGCCATCGTGATACCAGGGGACAACAGCTGGGGGCGGGATGAGCAGAGCTGGGGGACATGCAAAGGCAGAAAAAGGGAATGAAGAACTTCCTAACAAGGGGTCCCACGGGGTGAGTCGCCCCCTGCCATCCTCAGAAGGACTGGGGGGCAGGGAGGGCTGTTCAGGGCAGTGGATTTTCTGGTGGCACTTGTGGTGGGAGCTGGGGCTGGTCCTCCCGCAGACGGTGCAGACATAGGGCTGCTCACCGGTGTGGCCGCGGTGGTGCTGGAAGAGGTTGGAGCTGACGCTGAAGCGTTTCCCACAGTGGCCGCACTCAAAGGGTTTCTTGCCGGTGTGGGTCCGCATGAACTTCACCAGGTCGGCCTTCTGACCCAAGCTCTGATGACATTCACTGCATGCGTTGGGCGACGATGCTGCTTTGCGCTGTGACTTGGTGGTGATGCCGCTGGCACCGACACCATTGATATCCACAGCAGTGACACCACCACCAGCTGCCCTGTCCAGGCTCTTCCCAGTGGGGAGATGCCGGAGATGCTTCTTGCTGATGCCATTGATACCAATGACACTGCTGACACTGATGCCACTGACACCCATGCCGGTGACATGACCACTAGCTGCCCCAAGATGCCAGAGGTGCTTCTTGTTGACGCCACTGGCACCAACAATGCTGCTGACACTGATGGCAGTGACACCACCACTGGCTGCCCCATCCAGGTGCTTCCCGGCCGGGACATGCCAGAGATGCTTCTTGTTGATGCCACCAACACCAACACTGCTGACACCCCCTCTGGTGACACCACCACTGGCCGCCCCAAAATGCCAGAGATGCTTCTTGCCACGGCCGCCAACACCGACGACGCCGATGTCGCTGACACCAATGGTGGTGACACCACTGCTGGCTGCCCCATGATGTCGCTTCTTGTGGGGGGCATGGTGGTCGAAGCTCGTGCCATGGTCACCACAGTGGTCCGGCCACTCACCGGCGTGGACATGGTGATGGCAGCACAGCCCAGAGCTGGCACTGAAGCTCTGGCAGCAGTTGGGGAAGCAGTGGGTGGGGGGGACATGGCGGCAGTGGTGGTGGGTGTCCAGCTCCCAGCACTGCGTGAAGCTCTGCCCACACTCCGTGCAGATGTTGGGGGTCTCCTCCCTGCGGCCTCCCCCCATCGGCTGTGCCACAAAG